TTTATTCTATACTACTATATGTAAAAATTATATTGTATATATTCATAGTCATTAGTGTACATAAAATATGGGCCAATAATGTTTATATATACAATATTAAGTTGCCAGATGTAAATAAAAAACACAAAATACTCTAGTAGTCTAGTGTTTCAAACACCGCCTTACTCCCAATGGCCCTAGTTTCGATTCCTCGATACGAACATTTGCATTCATGAATTTGATTACTTGTGTAAATCAATTACAAAATAAATATATTTAGGTATATTTGTCAATTGTCGATCCTCCATTCAATTTAAACGGGGATCGAAATAAAGACGGCCTGAGCCGAGGTTCGAACCCCCCGTTCCGCCTGAAGGAAAGACTAAAGTCATATCCGTCAGGCGGGAGTTGGCCTTCAGCCGCTCCATAAGTCCTTCCGCGGGTTTGGAGTGTCATATGCACTCGCACCTTATCGTCAGGTGAAGCTGTAAAAGCCAGCTGCGGCTAACAGCTTTAGAATAGTCCGAAAAAAAATGACAGTTGTTTACAGGCAGGGTTTTTCTTATCCACTACGAGGGCGCAGTTTATGGCCTAGAGGCGAACCTCTTTACCTTAGCATCAACTTCAGTGATAACAACCTCCAAGGAACTCGTTCCATAGCCTCTCTTAGACAGGATTTCAAAGTTAGTTATTTAGTACACGTAATACAGTTTCTGAAGGCGTTACATATGAATGTGGATGGTTATAATGGCAGAGGAAGGCCGAAAAAGAGATGGATGGACTGTGTGAAAGATGATATGATAAGAAAGGATGTAAATAACGAGATGACTGCGGACAGGGATGAATGGAAGAGAAAAACATATTACGACGACCACAAATAAATGGGATAAGGAAGAAGCAGATGATGATGTAAACAATTTCTACTTAGTTTTAGAACTAGATGGCGCTGTAATTTATAACTGAGTGTCTAGGACATAACTTTTTAATTATCATAAATATTAAATATGTACCTAATTTAAAATAATTCACTTCTATTATTTATATATATATGTATATATATATATACTAGCTTTTGCCCGCAGCTTCGCTCGCGCTAATTTATCCCCTTAGGGGTGGAATTTATCAAAATCCTTTCTTAGGGGATGCCTACGTCATAGTAACTTTATGTATACAAAGTCTCAGCCCGATCGGTTTAAAATTGACAAACTTTCATCCCCTATTTTATCCCCTTGGGGGTAGAATTAATCAAAATCCTTTCTTAGCGGATGCCTACGTCATAACATCTACCTGAATGCCAAATTTCAGCCCGATCCGTCCAGTGGTTTGGGCTGTGCATTGATAGATCACTATATCAGTCACCTTTGAGTTATGTATATGTATATTGTTACACACAAAGTTGTGTCACAATCACTGAGTATTATTATAGTATATTCTATTGCGAACGTATACATGCAGTTTATTTCTTTAGTTAGCGGTGCATCGTTTGTATTAACACGGTCAAGTTAAGTTGAATAACTCGATTAATTGTGCATTTATATACACAAGTAGATCGCGAACTGAGGCGCACTCGAGCTATCTCTGTAAATATTTATCAAGGCAAATAAATTATAGATATTACTATTATAAGTATAGAAATAGTCTTTATTCCAATATACGTAATATAAGCGCTTTTGAATAGTCACATTTTTTTATTTTACCACTCATTCAGAATGTTTCGGAATACTCACTCATCACAAGACGAATGTGCAAGAAACTTGTGTGTTGCTCTTTTGAATAAATTTTGTTTTAAGTAGATTTACATTAACAATGATTAGGCATGCGACAATCAACATAGAAACCGCTACGCACTACTAGTTTTTATTCTAGAGAATGGATTTAGATTAAGTGCTCGATTCCGCTACTAAAAACATGTGCGAGACCACATACATCAGTTTGGAAACCTGACCACTGTTACTGTAAGTTATGACCTTCCACTTAACGGACTCAGGAATACAAACGTATACATCGTTCAAGGAATCGAACTCGCAACCATCGGCAGCAAAACTAAGTAACTATCGGAAGTAAAAATGTTATTATAGTCCTTTCAAAATGTAAATTATACCTACTAGTGATTACCCACAGCTTTGTACCCTGAATATCGATAGTCTCGTTGAAATTTTCAATAGTAGATTTTAAACGGATGCCTAAGTTATAATAAAAACTTATGTTTTAAATTCCTGTTTTGCAGACTCCACAGTTTTACGTGTACGTTGACAGTTAGGCTAGGACAAATGCTGATCGGGTACTGATGTTTGGAACTGGTCTGCTCTGATAACTACGACTGATTTATTTTGTTACTCAAGTAATTTATTTATTTATTTATAATTGCACATGCATATACATTAATTTACATACAATCAATCGACAATACACATGGACTCTGTTTAAAGAGTATTATTAAATTAAATTAAAAAACATGAGTATGATTGTTTATATCAGTCTGGGTGTTTTCATAACACAAGCTTTAGCTAGCTTAACTTGGGTCTAGATGGCGCTGTGTGAACTGTCCAAAAAAAAATTTAGCAGTAGACTAATTCCCAAAAAGAAATTGTAAATTTAAATCTGTTGTAGCGTCCACTTAGCTCCTATAGTACGTCTATTAAAAATTCCTTTACTGTATAGTAAGCTTTTTCGGTCAGTAATTCTTTAAGTCTTTTTTTAAATAAATTAATTTTACCTTCTTGTTTTATGGTTTCCGGGATTTTACATATTACAATGGATCGGTAATACGGAGTTGCCGTATACATTTCTATTTCAGGTTCTGGTAGAGCCAGTTGGCTTTTAATTTATTGTTACATTTAAAATTAAAATATGATAGATGCTCATGAACAAATATAGCTATCTCCAATTCATTTATCTATATCAACTATGCTATCTAGCAATTTGTATTCACGCGAAATTCTTCAAAATCTAATACTGGACATCATTTCTTTAAAAGAGCAACACGCGTGATTCTTGCTCATTCTTCTTGTGATAAGTCTGCGTTCCGAATGAGTCGTAGAATATAAAAACATGAACTTCATTTATTTATAGAGCAACACGCACGTTTCTTTTTCATTCTTCTTGTGACGAGTCTGCGTTCCGAATGAGTGGTAGAATAAAAAACATGAAGTTCATATATTTAAAAGAGCAACACGGACGTTTCTTTTTTTCTTCTTTTTGCATTCTTAAAAAAATGTGACGAGTCTCATTCTTCTTGTGATGAGTTCCAAATGAGTGGTAGAATAAAAAAACATTAACTTAATTTATTAAAAAGAGCAACACGCAAGTTTCGTGCTCATTCTTCTTGTGACGAGTCTGCGTTCCGAATGAGTGGTAGAATAAAAAACATGAACTGGGAGAATAAAAAAACATGAACTTCATTTATTTATAGAGCAACACGCACGTTTCTTTTCATTCTTCTTGTGATGAGTCTGCGTTCCGAATGAGTGGTAGAATAAAAAAAATATGACTACATTAAAAAAAATATGATTACGCGATAACTACTACTAATACGTGAGTTTCTTGTCAGTTCTCATCTCGAAATCATTCTGAACTGACGGTAGTTCTTGACATATCATAAGAGTCTGTAATAGACCTACATGATTAAAGATATTTTGAATTGATACGACTATTCAAAAGTGCTTATTTGAATAAACATTATTTTTATTTCTAACTAGCTGTACCCTACTCGCGCGACTTCGTCCGCGTGGAATTTAACTTTATTTTTCTATACTAAAAGAATTTTCCTAAAATAAAAGCAGCCTAAGTTGCTCCTTAATATATCAGCCATCTGCCAATGAAAGTCCTGTCAAAATCGGTCGAGCCATTTCAGAGATTAGCCGGAGCAAACAGACCGACAGACAGATAGACAAAAATTATAAAAAATGTTATTTTGGTATATGTATCATATTTATAGTCATATGCATGTAGTAAAAAACGGTTATTTCAGTATTACAAACAGAGACTCCAATTTTATTTATATGTATATGATTTTACAATTAGATATAGATTACAAAATAGTTTTGCAAACAATCTTTGAAAATAGGCCTCGTTATAATCAGGCAGAAATAAAAATGTGGCCACTATCGTAGCAACACCGATGTGTGGTGAAGCGGAGCGCGCGCGCGCAGTCAGAATGGTAATAATTTTCGCGCCTACGCCTGCGGTTGCGCACTAGTACTGGTGGTACCAATAATTACTGGAACGGTCCTTTCAATGTCGTAAACTTCAAAATTTATTAAAACATTCAATAACACAGCATTCAATACAAAAAGAACAAAATAACCTTATTTCGGATATACAACGTTCATTATAATTTACTTTGTTAAGAATAGGAATAAAAGTTTTGAACATATTTGTTATTATCGCTAAATTCTATACACAGTTCTGTATTTTTAAAATATACAATCTATGATAAAATTTTACTTGAAATATTAGAAAGTATCACAAACATTGAGTACTTACATATACTATAACATATATTAACTATTGTGGAATGAAAAAAATATCTGTAATACTAGGATACGTGCTACAAACACACAGTATCGTTATGTAGTATTTATTTAAAGAAATTTAGTGATCCCAACAACAAGGATATGCATACGAAGCCACAGAGCATCGCATGTCCCTATAAACTAAGATACTTTTTTTTTCTGACTACTCTAATGCTGTTGGCCGCAGCTGGCCTTTACAGCTTCACTGGACGATAGGGGGCGAGTGCAGATGGCACTCCAAACCCATGGAAGGACTTATGGAGCGGCTGAAGGCCTGACGGATACGACTTTAGTCTGAGGGCACCGCTAGGGGTTCGAACCTCGGCTCAGGCTCGTAATATCGATCCCCGTTTGAATTGGACGGGGGATCGATCGGAGGGGAAACTGAGATACTTAACATTTTGTTAATATATATGTCGTTATTGTTGCAGATAGTGCGGCAGGGTGGCGACCTCCAAGTATGGCGGCGGCGGGTTGGTCGGCTCTGGGCTCGCGGTGAGGCGCGGCATGAAGTGCGCGGGGGCCGCGGGCGGCGGCGACGAGCTGCTCCTCGGCGCATGCTGGCTCGATCCCAAGCTGGACGCCTCCTCTCCGCCCTCCACCTGCCACGAGCTACTCGACTCGCTTCTCGCCCCGACGCCGCTCGCTGAACTCAAGCCCCTTCCCCCTTTCACCGGCTACACCGGCCACTTATCTATCAACGGCATCTCGGGCCACCATTACCACGCGATAGCGCAACGTCTTCCAGAAGAAAATAATAATTACCCTACCCAAAGCGGTTATGGTGCAGATCACGACGTTGTTTCATCTTCAACGTGCGCCGCTGACAACGAACCACCGGACCTTGAGGATGTAAAGCCTTTCCTAGAATCGCCGGATACTAAACCGTTCGCAGAAACGGCCGGATCAGGGGCAGCGGACTCTTGTGCTGCATCTTGCTCTCCCCCGGCAAAGTTGTTCGAGGACAGTCATAAACAGGACAACATGTACGATATAAGTTCAATAGAAGATATAGCTGCCATTATTGGCTCGGCTATTGCAGATACCACGGTTCCATCGCAACCTGAGGACCCTGAGCGTAACGACTCACGAGACAGTTGGATGGACATCGACGCCTGGATAGCAGGCGCTTGCAGTCAACACGGAGACAAAATAGTACCGCAAGATCTTGAATTCGGTCTACCGAGTCCACCTCAGCAACATACAAGTCATCATTCAAGTTTAGACTTCCCTTGTAAACCGGGCCAAGAATTTTCTAAAAGCCAAGAATTTCTTCAAAAGAATCTAGGCCAGGCTGGGTCGACGCTACAGTCGTTACTGACACATGGTTACATGCCGTTGCTTCAAAATCGGTTGCAGAACGGCCCACCGGTTAAACAAGAAGCTCCGAGCTCGACCAGTTACGGCATGGATGTTATATCAACGTCATCACCTCCAGGCAACGTGGTTTCCACGACAGATGGTGTCGGTGGCATTTTAAATGGTCGGTATGCATCTCATTATGCACTCGGTCTTAAATCAGACGGACTATGCAGTCCAGAGAGACTGCTAGGGTACCCCCACGCCCATACGACCACAATTACACCGGTGAATAAGAGTAAACGAAGTAGAGCGAAAGCCAAGCAAGCCAGCAATGGTGGAAACCTGCATAGCAGTTCCCTGGCCTTTCCATCTGCGACAGCGGCGGAACTAAGCGGTCTCCTCGGCAAAGAGAAGCCAGTCCATCGCTGTACAATATGCAATAGAGGATTTTTGAACAAGTCAAATATAAAGGTACATCTCCGTACACACACCGGGGAGAAGCCTTTCAGGTGTGACGTATGTGCGAAGGCTTTCCGTCAGAAAGCTCATCTCATAAAACACCAACAGATCCACAAGAGGATCGGTAGGGACTAGGAACTTGGATCTTCAACTCAAGCTCAAAAAGCATTTCATAGATTAGTCGTGTGTTTGTGATTGTGTGCCCGTGTCAGTGTGCGCAGTGGAATGCTGCGCAGAATCTCAATCTAGGTTACTTGTAAATGGTTCTTCATATAACTATAACCCTTTAGTATAACATTTCTCCTAAGGACAAGTGCAATGTTAACTAGTTTTAAGTCTTCAGGTTTATTTTGTAGATAATTGTTTATACGTTGTTGCGTAATGTTCGTAAGGTTGTTCATTCCACTTGGTAGCGATTATTATAATATTAAACCGTTTTAATAGGAGTAGTTTCGGTTGATTATTTCGCTTATGTCTTGAGTACTGACTTGGCATGCCACTATTATACGCTCGTTAGAGCACAGTGCGCGCTCCAATAGTATAAAAGTAAACAAAACATGGACGAAATACTATTCCTTTGCTATTTATGAATAAATTACTCCGATTACCTACTTATAGTCAAATTATTTTAGTTCGTAAATATGTAATTTTTAGGTACTTGAATATATTTAGATATGACAAAGCAGAAGAGGCTAACACAAAACTCTGTATAGGTTATTTATTAAAACGACTAAGTTAATATTATACCGTAAACGCGATATTTTTTTTTAATTCGCTAATATTTATTTAAGAGATTTTCAAGCAATTTCTGTAGTGAAATATAACATTGAAGAGGAAAAGATAACCTGTCACAAATATTCTCTCTATTATACACAGATCAGCCTCTCTTTGAATGAATATCATAATCAAGTAATTATTATTTATCCTGTCCTGAAAATTGACTCTCTAATATAACAATTGGCACAATTATTTTTATTCCAAAAATTCATTACTAATAAAAATGTCCAAAAATCTGTTTAAACGATTACTAGTAGTAACAAAACTAATTTAATTTAACATCACAATGTGTAAATTGTTTAATGAGCGCACGTTATTTATCGGTACGCATAATAGTAGGTACCGATGCGCAGGCGCACGCGAGCCGGCGGAACTGGCCGCGTCCGGGAAACGGACGGAAAAAAACGCAAAAATCATTGTTCTAATAACACCGATCCGTTGTTACACAACTGGTGTCAGCCCAATTAGAACCTATCGCGAAAAATTACCTGAAATTACATGCATGTACGTAAATGAAAAAAATAATTGTCAGTTACAAAAAAATATTTATTTCTTCATTTTTATACAATGTACGAATAAATTCAAATGATACATATATTAATAACGAAAAAAAATGAAAAAAAAAATTGTCAGATACAAAAAATATTTATTTCTTCATTTTTATACACATCCAATACCTGTATTAGGAATAAATTGAAATGATACACTTACCACTTCCAAATAAAGAAGGTCATGAACGATTTAATGAAAAAAATAATTATCTGTAACAAAATTTCTTAAATTTTTTGTAGACATTCAGAAGCTATATATGTAATAATTTGAAATAATATATTATAGATAACACTTCTAAATTATTGTACAGAACTGGTATATGGTATATACAAGGATATCTTTCTTTTCAACAATATAGTAGGTATAAACTACTAAAAAAATTAATATTAAGAAATTTATTAATGACAATAGAGTTAGCAAACCTAATGAACTTCACTAAACATTTATATTCAATTTCAGTTCAAATTGTTACTACATCATTTCATTTCAGCTACAAAAAGTAAATAGTAAAGTAAAGATACTATAGTTGTATATCATTAATATATGCAAAATTTACATATATATATATATATATATAAAAAATTGTTGTAGTCAAATGTACATATATCTATAGATATAAATAAAATTGGAGTGTCTGTTTGTAATATGGAAATAACCGTTTTTTACTACATGCATATGAATATAAAGACGGTACATACACCAAAAAACCACTTTATACAATTTTTGTCTGTCGGTCTGTTTGTTCCGGCCAATCTCTGAAATGGCTGGACCTATTTTGACAGAAATTTTTTTACAAGTCGCTGATGTAATAAGTAGTAACTTAGGCGACTTTTATTTTGAAAAATAAAGTTAAATTCCACGCGAACGAAGTCGCGGAAATAGCTAGTATGTAATATAATAAACACCTTCGTAAAAATTGGACATTTTATCAAATAACATAAAATGGAAACACTATGTATCTTTGATAATATGTTTTTCTAAATATTAATTAATATTATAATAGAAATGCTGATTAAAATGAAATGTTTGGTGCTGATATAACTGTATACAATGTAATGAATTTATTAGAATAACGATGTATTTAAATAACTAAAAACATCACAATTATTTTTCACATTGTTTAAGAATAAAATTGTAAAATATTATTGTAAAAAGTATCCAGTACAATTGTATGTTGCTTTAATTGTAAGCTGAATGGAAGTTGTTACAGAGCGTCTACAGACAGACGTCGCAATTTGTCGTTGATATTAGTCGGGCCAATATGTTGTTGAGAATGGAAGTTGTTACAGAGCGTCTACAGACAACGTCGCAATTTGTCAAATTCAAATTCAAATTCAAAAATCATTTATTCATGTAGGACATTTTAGCCGCTTATGAACATCAAATTTTTACATTCTAATTTTATTTTTTTTCCCTACCGTCCAGTTCGGTATATAGATCCAATTGAGAAGAACTGGCAAGAAACTCAATTGAATTACTTTTTTTTTAAAGCCAGTTTATTTACAATGTATATTTATATAGGTGTCTATGTCTAACATTAAATGAAAATCCAGTGCATGAACAACTATTGCCATGCACGCTCATCATTCAAGTAATCGTTTAGTGAGTAATAGGCTTTGCTCACTAAATATGATTTAACAGATGTTTTGGATTGATTTAAGGGTAATTTCAACATATCCTTTGGTATCTTATTGTAAATTTTTATACCTATTCCCATAAAAGACCTATTGACTTTTTCTAAACGATACTTGGGGACAGCAAGTTTGTCTTTAAATCTAGTATTAATATTATGAATATTGCTGTTTTTTTGGAAATAAGTCAAGATTTTTATGAACATAAATGTCGTTCCTATTAGTCGGCCCAATATGTTGATGATATTCATGCTGTACTCTACATAAGAAAATAATCTCAATAGACTACCGCACGGGAGAAGACTATTAAGATTACTAAAGCGTCAGCGCACGTGACGCTTCAGGCGACAGTTTACGGCAACCGTTTACCATCAGATGGGCCGTAAACTCAATCACCACCATTGTAGTATAAAAAAAATCTGTAAAGCTGTCTACCCCACTTCTGCTTACCTTTTTGTTAGTTCATCCTACAGTACATAGAGTTGCTCTCTAGATTACCTAATATACAATCTGGATCTCCAGTATGAAGTCGGCAAGACTTAGGACCAATATGTAAGCCTAATTTAATCAACTGGCCAATATCACCGCCAAATTGCGTCGTATAGAGACGCGTTAGTATTCAAAGAGGAAGGAAACCGCAATGTACCTATTTAAAATTATCTTTTAGTAATTATTATTACGATGTACTAACACAAAACTTATGATATACATTCCACGAAACGTTATTTCGCTTTTATATATTGAAATGAAATGCTACGTTTGAACGCTCGTCTGCTCGCCCTTCGTGTATACTCGGGCGAATACGTGACGTGTATGTGATGGTAATGCAAATCGGGTGAAACAAACGAGCGGTTGTAACTGAGCGGTTATTTGAAAACAGTGTCGAAAAGAATGTAATGTAATTACAATTTATTTAACGATACTTATCTGCAGTGCTAAAGTTAATCTAAAAGTTATATTGACTATTTCTTATATCGTTTACTACAGAACGTCTTCGAGTACGTATCGTGGTCCCTAGTTGTACTCTAGTTGAAGATAAGATGCATTTATTGTTTTAAGGTCTTTAATTGAACTGGTATTTAACGAGTACTTTTTTAACTAATATTTAGCGTGATATATACACGATGCGTACATATTTCTTGTATATACAGACAGAAAATATATTAATTAGTTCCGAAATATTCCAGTATATCATAACTTCGAATCGGATACGTCCGTCGGATATTGTCTATTGGAATGTAATTGATTAGTTCTCATCGGAGTTAATATCCATATTTTTTTCTGCGTTCAAGCAAAATAACTTATAATAAAAACAATTTGTAATTAAATATTACTTCATCTATAAAACTTTAGTATATAATTATGATAATGAATATCAGTTAGCCACATTATCATAGTAGAGTATGTACTATTTGTCTGTATACTCAATTTTAAACCTGATTTCAAGTTTCAGACGAGCGTTTCGACCGCAGCGTTTCGTTCGCTGTACGTAATTACATGTAGTTAGGCCTCGAAAAGTACCTTTTGCTAGTTATGGGATATTAGTTCTTAAGTATTTATTGATATGATGTAATTTTGTAATTCTGATTATTGTAAATTGCTCCACGATCTATTTTAGTAAGTAGTCAGTAAGTAAAATTTAATTAGCTAAGAAAATGTTATATTTCCGAGAGGTTTTTTTTTCCATTACGAATAAAATGTAAATTAATGTAAAATAAATGGAGATTTTTGTTAATGATACACGGTTTTTTTTATCTACTTATTACCTGTATAATATATATTAAAAAAAATGGCACACAATAAATAAATATATTTTTTATTGTGTGCCAATTTGCCTGAAACTAAGAAACACTTATGTACTAAATACAAGTCAGTATTTTTATGTATTATGTTATGTATGTATTTATAAATAAATTATTTAAGTACATGTAGAGGTATTTACGTAATTTATTATTAAATACATACCTACTTAATATACAGAAAATACACAGACTAATAAATAATAATAAATAAATACAATTTATGTATTTACGGGGATCGAATCCGCGACCTCGCAATTTTGCAACTTTTACATATGTGTATTTAAAAAAAGAAGTGTTTTTTAAAAAAACACTCTTATTTGATTACTTCGTATGTTATATTGTCGTTGTAAGCGACACTAATGCAATTTTTTTA